TCAAATGGATCGGAGTGTATCTCATGTCATGTGCAATAATTTTTAAAATTGAACACGTGTAGTCCTATATTTTTTTGATCAAATATTATTACACGGAGGGAGATGACTAGGTTTGAACATTAGACTTTAAGGTTCAATAGTGAGGAAGGAGGCCATTTAGAGGGGTTCCATATTGAGGTCATGTCTAAATCGAATTCAAAACTCTAGACTTTTGAAGGAGTGGTTCTCCTTTGTCGTGGGTCACCGTTGACATTGACTTGGATTTCTTTTACCATTTAGTTAGCATCATTTTTTTTTAATGTGTATGGATATATCAAAGCTATATACTCCTAAAAATGAGAATGGAAGCTAATATGCATAAAGTTGAGGACTAAATTCAAATATTCAATTAGAAAAAAATTATGTCTTGGGTCCATTGTAAGACTCCTGTCTTTAGGAGTGTTCACCCTACCGTATAATTAGAAATTATGGTATTCTATCTTTCTACCCAATACTTTACAGAAGAATTTTTTTTAGTCGACTTTACCCAATTAAGTATACTATTCTTATCTGAATTATGTCCAAAACAATAGGGTAGGAAGTCGAGTGAACCCATTTTTTGGTTATTAATTTTTGGATCATTTTAACAATTCAATTAAATAACATTCATCAATTAACCAACACAATAAATTAATAATACTAAAGAAAACACAATAAATTCGATAATGCATAAACTATGATAATAAAACACACAAAAAAAGTCATAAACATCAATACATCGTAATTATTACATATATACAATAACAACTATTTTAGGTCTAAACCATATCAAGAGAAGGAGGCGTAAGGATTTTAAGGTTTCCACGCACACACACACAGATATATATATATATACGGGTAGGGTCAGAAAGGAATACTGATTTTTTATGAGTATTCCACATTCCTACCTAATTTTTTATGGTAGCTGATCAGTAGGGTCAGAATATGCTGGTAATCAAAAATTTGAACACCCCTACTTGTCTTCAGTAGGACTTGAACTCTTGACCTCTTAGTGAGCTTCAAAAATCTTTACCACCCAATTTTTTTTCCTTTTTTCTCCTACACCCAAATAAACTCACATTTATTCTCTACAATCATTTTCATGATAAAATTTTTAAAGAATGGTTTATTGAAAAAAGGAAACAATGAAATGATTTCATTTGAACAAGACGGTCAGTATTAAGGAAATATAAATGAATCTAGAAGAAAATTTTGATCTAGGGAAATGATCAAAATAGATGCTATAGTTTGACCCTATCATATCAACTTAGTGAAAGTCAAGCAAGTGAATAATATAGCACTTATTATGTATAAGGGATATTAATTCAATATTTAACTTTTCTTTTGCCAAACATCACAAAAATTGAATTAAACTTTGGTGCATAATGCAATACCTCGAGGTGAAAACCAAATAATCAAGATTGTGTCCAAGTAATGACATGTCCACTCTATGTCATTTTTTAGGGGGAGAAAAAGCTAAAGTGAGACATAGAAAGCTATGAGATGAAGTTTCTCAGTGCTTCAATTGGATTCTATTATTTCAAGTTATATAGATTTTTTGGAAATTGTTTTTTAAAACTGAACATCACTAAGTTTTTCCATAGACATCACTTGGAAATAGTTTCTTGTGAAAATAAAACGAGTGGCTGAGTAATGTTTCTGATCAATTTCTTTCACATCTATACTTTATCAAATGAAAATAATAAATTATATCAATAAATTAATCTAATTAACATTAATAATAAATTTGATTGCATATAGGTTGGTAGAATCAGGTACCAATAATGGATTTTTTTTTCAACTATTTTCGGGATTATGAAAGGATAATGGAATAACAATAAGCAATAGAAGTGTCCATAATCGTGTGCAACACATCTTGCATGAATTTTGAAGGTTTGGTTCTCCTTCGGTGTGGGTGGGACACGATTGATCTTGATTGGGACTTTTTCTACTATTTATAGTCTCTAAAATTAAAAATTTTTCTTTTACTTTACAATGATGTATCTTATCTATTTTTGAAAGAAATGGAATGAGAGTAGCTAGGTAAAATATGGAGATTAAATTCGGATATTCAGCCTTAGGGCTGATCTGGTAATACTTAAGGCACAAATAGCTGCTCTTTGCCCAATGACGGATTTGATAGAGGAATTCTCCACATAGTTGAATATGTGTGTGTTTTAAAACATGTACTGTAATGCAGTATTTTTGCATCACTTTTTCAAGTTTACTGTAATGCAGTATTTATACTAAATCATGTGTGTAGTGTAATATCATGCATTCATTTCTTGGAGATGGATACAATAAATTATTTATAATGCTAATTTATATTTTTCATATGGCACACACCAATTCTTTGCCTATCAATCCATAGACTAGAACAGAGCATGTACTTATGAGGTTTTCTCCTGATCGATCCCAGTAGCGTACAAAATGTTCAGTAATATAAACCATCAACTAAAACATATAAGAGAAATACATAATATGCATAGAACCAAGCTAGCTAGGTTCGATCTCCTTACATTCCTATACAAACATAACTTGCCAAAATCTATTTTATAACATTGCATGCATATCATACTAAAGTATACATGCATCAAACAACACCTTTGATAACAGTTCAAAATGGAACTCCCTTCATCACCTTTCTTATAATTTGCAAAAAAATTCTGGATAAAATCATACTTCTAATATAACTTCTATGAAAAGTGCAACAGGCATGCTATCAATGAACCATGATGCAATGCAATGGTTCAATCCTACAATAAGTACATAGTATCTAGTTATTAGTGAATCTCAAAAGAAGTCAATTTCCCAACAAATTCGGTTACACAATTCCAGTTTGTATGCAGTGCCAGGGTCCTAAAATTGGTTATGAAAATTTAAAAAACAAGAATATTTCTATATTTTTTTACCATAGACTAAACTTGTTATGCTATCTGTTGTTTGCATCAATCTATCTAACGTAGTGAATAATTAGATAACTTTATGGAATAACTAGACTTTTTTTGAACTATTTCTTTGTTTTTGAATAATGATTGAAGTATAAGATATGGTGTGATTTTTAATAATTGTGCGGTTGTTTTCCTTTTTCATATTGAAATGGTCAGATGTCATACTATGCACAATATATATCACTATATTTATATGTTTGAACATGTCCCTTTAAATGCGGGATAGATTTATGGATAAAACGCGTGTAAGTCTTATAATTATTAGAGTGTTGTCAAAATTCAAATGTAAGACTTGTTGGTGTGATACCTTGTTAAACTATCAAGTCTTATAAGAACGCCAAGCACATGTAAGCATTAGGGTGACACGAAATTCGAATGGAGGACAACATGCTCTAATACCGTATTAAACCATCAACTGTTCTTAAAAGATTAAGTTTTTAAAAAACTTGTGCATATTTGGTTGAAAATTTAACCCAAACTTGAAGATTATTGTAGTATAAATGATCTTAAGTTTTTATTAGAGCTATAAATAATTATATTACACTCTCACTAAAATCTGAAGTTTTTATTAGAGCTATTGGTTGAGCAGATAATTTTGAGGTAGTAATGAAAATAACATGAGGATTATTGTAGCATAAATGATAGATTACAGAGTGCATATATTTTATATGTATAGGAACAAAGCAGGAGTTGAAACAACATGAATAAACACTATTTAGAAGGCAAAGAACTATGATGCCTTACCTCAAAGAAGACGATAATGCATTCCACTACGAGTCAATGAATTTCTTGTATAACCAGTTCGCCTTTAGTAGTGCAGCCATATAGATCTGGTCCTTCACTTCATTAAGGAATTTGAAATATGGATGCCTCCAAGTCCTTTTGAAGAAAAGAACAACACAAACTCCCCAAAAACTAATGAAAAATCCCATACCCATGCCAATATAGAACCCAAACATCTCAGACTCATCTCCATTTTTCTGAACAGGTGTTGAACCATGAGATTCCTCATCTTTGGTGGAATTTATCCGTAGAGGCGCACCACAAAGTTCAGCATTCCCAATGAAGCTGTCTTCACTAAGGCTCTAGAACTGGGTGCTTGAAGGTATAATTCCCGACAAGTAATTGTATGACAAGTTTAAACAATCAAGAAACATCAAATTGGACATGCTTTGTGGAATTTTGTCAGAAATATCATTTTTCGAGAGATCTAGACATTCCAATGTTGTCATGCTACCAATATTCTCTGGTATCTCTCCAACCAAGCGATTATGAGACATATTTAAAAAACGCAATACAAAAAGACCAAAGAGCTCAGTAGAAATGGATCCAAATAAGTTATTGCTTGAAAGATCTATGCTCCTCACAAGTCTAAGATTGTACTCGTACTCTAATTATCTCCCTTTTGTAACCAACATTACATTTTCTATTTATGATCCATAGTCGTAGAAATATTCCAAGGCCTCAAAAGAAACTTCTAGCGGAATGTCTGTCGTAGCCATCAGTATTAAATTATTCAAACATTTTGGTACCAAACCTGATATATTATTATCCGCAAGGTCTAGTATTAGGATAGAAGAAAGTTGACAGATTTGTGTTGGAATATTACCATTAAATTTATTTGATCTCAACCAGAGAACCAATAAATCTGTCCTTTCACCCATCCAACTTGGTATGGCTCCTGTAAACTTGTTTTCACCGAAATCAATTAGCTCCAAAGATGTGCAATTAAACAATGACAAGGATACATGTCCAGAGAAACTATTTTCTTGCAAGCGAAATGATCTGAGCTTAGATAAAGAACCCATTGAGCTTGGAATTTCACCTGATAAGATACTGTTTCCCAAGTTTACATGGACCAAAGATTGCCAGTAAACCCAACAAGAAGAAAGGTTACCGGATAAAAGGTTNAGCGAAATGATCTGAGCTTAGATAAAGAACCCATTGAGCTTGGAATTTCACCTGATAAGATACTGTTTCCCAAGTTTACGTGGACCAAAGATTGCCAGTAAACCCAACAAGAAGAAAGGTTACCGGATAAAAGGTTATTTGATACATCTAGGACTTCCAAGTTATTCTTTCTATTTGCCTTACTGCATAGGAAAGATGAAATGTTCCCGTAAAAAGTGTTATTTGCAATAACCAACATTTTAACATTTATTGACAGATGTGGNTTTCTATTTGCCTTACTGCATAGGAAAGATGAAATGTTCCCGTAAAAAGTGTTATTTGCAATAACCAATATTTTAACATTTATTGACAGATGTGGTAGTTGACCGCTGAAGCGATTAGAGCTTAAATCGATGAAACTAGAATTTAGTGAAAGTGAGATATCTCACCATGAATCTGGTTTCTAGAGAGGTCGACACTTTCAACATGTGAAACCCAGTTCCATAACCAATCAAGAGCTACCACAGAAATTTTTGAGTTTGACATGATAAGCTCAATAACAATTTTTTGTGTTTACAGCCATACTGGGAATTTTGGACCCACCTTAGAAAAACTCATATCAATAAATGTGAGTTGAAAAGGAGGAATCCAATTGGGGCTTACATTGAAGGAAAGAGGGTTCCGAGAAATAGCTAACATCTTTAACTTTGAGGGCTTAGCAAAATGCACTTCTAAAACAACGCCTGCTATTGAATTTTGTGGAATGAATAAGATCTCTAGATTTGAGAGAAGCCCAAAATTATTTGGAATATTGCCGCTCAATTTATTAGAAGAAAGATCTAACACAATCAAAGACGATAGGTTATCGAGAGATGCAGGAATAGGACCAGTAAGTTGATTGTAATACAACTTTAGATACCTCAAGTCGTGAATATTCGACAAGGCAACTGGTATTTAACCTTGTAAAGCATTTTTCGATAGCCGGAGATGTATGGGGCTATTACTGAGATTGCCTAACCAATTAGGTATTTCATGCTTGAAAAGATTACGAGAAAGATCAAGGACAGTAAGAGATGTGAAATTGACATAACTGAGGGATGGGTANGTCGTGAATATTCGACAAGGCAACTGGTATTTAACCTTGTAAAGCATTTTTCGATAGCCGGAGATGTATGAGGCTATTACTGAGATTGCCTAACCAATTAGGTATTTCATGCTTGAAAAGATTACGAGAAAGATCAAGGACAGTAAGAGATGTGAAATTGACATAACTGAGGGATGGGTACATACTTTCAAGTCGACAAAAGGACAAGTTTAGTTCTGAAAGAGAAGGAAGCTTATTCATTTCTTGAAGCCAATTGACTGTCTTGCTAAGATCGACTCCACTCATGTCAAGATACTTCAAAGAATGAAGGCCAGCAATCCAACTTAGATCATCCACGAATAGTCCAAAATTGTATCCTAAATCAAGATAAAGTAGCCTTGAGAGATTTCCTAGTTGATGATNGCAATCCAACTTAGATCATCCACGAATAGTCCAAAATTGTATCCTAAATCAAGATAAAGTAGCCTTGAGAGATTTCCTAGTTGATGATTAATCTCACCTTGCAGATCCATAGAATGGAGGTCGAGCTCAATGACTCGACCCGTGACATTATCACAGCGGACTTCTGTCCATTGACAACAATTTTTTTGGACTGACCAAGATGAGAGACTACCTAATGATGGATTAGTGAGGTCATTTCTGAAGTTGAGAAGGGCGGTTCTCTCTTTCTCATGGCAAATGATGTTTGATGAATTTGAATTGCCCACAATAATGAGCAGAAACATAAGAAGCACCAAAGTTAGAATAGAAGTGCCCATAATGGTGTGCAAGACTGAACACAGAGCAAGTGCTTAACAAAAAATGGAAAAGTTTCCTCATGCTTTTATAAAGGCTAGAAGGTTTGCATGATTCCTCAGTTAACCGATCAAAAGATTGGACTTTTTGAGGTATGGTTTTTCAACACCGTGGGACGTGGTTGATCTTGGCTTGCATTACTCCCTCCATTTTTTTTTCTACAAAATTATTTTAGTTTTATTTCCCACGGTGAAACTTGGGTGCACTAACCAGAATTCAATCCAGGATCAACTCAAAATTTTCAATACTTGGATTGAATTTGGGAAATACTCGGGTTGAGATTTTGAGTTGATGGGTTTAACCTGAACCCAATTCAAATTTATAAATTCAACCCGATTTCAACTTGAAATTCCAAAACAAAAAATCACACAAACACACACACAAAATATTAGGGTCTCTATGTCACACTCTTTATCCATTGTTATTGATGTTTAATCCTATTGCAAATGTGAAATTTATTTTTTTCTATTTTCAAATTACCTTTGATTAATGGGGGTTGTGGAATTTAGGTTCAATTTCGATGCTGAACATAGAATTGAAACTTATTTTTGACTCAATTCGATTTTGATTAATGAAAAACTCAATTTCAACTCAAATTGTGTAACTCGATCTCGATTTGAGTTTAAAAATTTAATCTCAGGTTGGTTCGGACTGGAGTTGCTCGGTAGAGAACAAGGTTGGGTTCGGATTAAAAGTTTCATATTTTAGGTTGACCTATCACCTTGCTCTAGTTATATGATTAATATGTTCTTAATAATGGAGCACGTAATTAAGAAGAATTTTTGGATGCATTATTGAAGTCTTTGTTACTAAAAGGACCCAGATTCATAACCTATTAATAAGGTTGAAATACTCACCATCCAAAAGTATTGTAGAATCATCTTTATGACTATTGACTGGTGATCTTGAGTTGGACTTTTTTCAAGCATTTTTTTTGGTTTTTCTTCTTAAACATTGTTTACTGAAAAAATACTGTGAGAGGAATCATGTTACTCCAAGAAATAGCCAACACTGCAAATGAAGGAGGTTGGTTAATTACAAAATAATCCCTTCAATTTTGAGTAGTTTGCTATTAACTCATTCAAATTTTAATTTCAACAAATTTTCTCTATTAAGTTTGAATATTTTGCAATTAACTCCAACAATTAATTTTAGTTCATAAAAATGGTGAAAGTTAGACATAAAAATTCACGTGATCTCTACTTTGTTGAAAATACATAACTATTCTTGAAAATGTGTGTGTGTGTGTGTATGTGTGTGCCTGCGTGTGCGTGTGTGTGCGTGCACATGCACATGTCTTGTTGCTTGGTGGAGGTGGACGCAAAGGTGAAGACGAATATTTTATTGTATAGTCTGTTAGTGTTGGATTGAAAGGATAAAATTTTATCTTGGCCTCTTATTTCCTTATTTTTATGCACATAATTGATATCTCAAGAAAAAAGTANGCGTGCACATGCACATGTCTTGTTGCTTGGTGGAGGTGGACGCAAAGGTGAAGGCGAATATTTTATTGTATAGTCTGTTAGTGTTGGATTGAAAGGATAAAATTTTATATTGGCCTCTTATTTCCTTATTTTTATGCACATAATTGATATCTCAAGAAAAAAGTATGAAAAATATGACATAATGGAAGGTGTAATGGTACTTTTCATGTTTCAACGGTCAATCAATTTAGTCCACATTAAACCTTAAAGGGGTGTTTGTTTCGCAGGATTAAGGGGATTAAAGGAGGGATTGGGTTAAAATTGTCTATGAAACCCACTTATCCTTGCTTTGGGTATGTGAAATAGGGTGGGATTTTCGTTGTGAATTGAAAAACTTGAAAAGCTTGGGATTATTGAAACCCATGAAAAGCTTGGGATTAACAAGCTCCTAGCAGGATTGGTCCTGAAATTCCTAAAACACCCCTCANAGACCCACTTATCCTTGCTTTGGGTATGTGAAATAGGGTGGGATTTTCATTGTGAATTGAAAAACTTGGCCGTAGTTTTTGACCCCAATATCCCCTTCAAGCCGGATTATTGAAACCCATGAAAAGTTTGGGATTAACAAGCTCCTAGCAGGATTGGTCCTGAAATTCCTAAAACACCCCTCAACAATAATTTTCTAGGGTTTTATCTACTGTCTCTCGTCACTTTCCTCTCTCCCTCGCTATACAGACAACACCTCCACCAGCGACCAAGCACCACCAACAATAGCAACCAATCACCACCAGCGCCCCCACTCTTTTTCTATCTGCCTCTCCACTGCAACACCACCGCGAACGGCACCGCAAGCATCACCTGCGCCACCTCCAACACCAGCAAACCCCTTTCTCTCTCTCTCTATGTCAGTTATTATTCCCCTAACATCTCTCTCCTCTATCTCTATTAAATGCACACACACAAAAACCCCAAAACCCAAATCCCCTTTAACCATCTATTTTTCCTTCCCAAACCCCCTCAATTTCCTCCACATCCATCTCTCTATCTCTCTCTTGTTATCGCATAACACTCTTGAAACCCTACCGGCTCCATCAGCTCCGGTTACCCAACAACTCTTTATCTCCCCAATCATCTATTGTAAACAACCCTCTATCAGGCACGTTATCAGACTCATGAGATCCCTTTTTACATGTCCCTTCATCTCCTGATCAAGTGACTGACAAGGCTCAGTATCAAGCCTTCTCAGTTGCCTTATCTGCGAGGGCTTTCCAGATGCTTCTCTCTCTCTCTCTCTCTGTATTTGTCTTTGTCTATGTATGATGGAAAAGCCGAAGCATCTGTGCTAGTGAAGATGACATATTTGATTAACNTCTCTCTCTCTCTCTCTCTCTCTCTGTATTTGTCTTTGTCTCTGTATGATGGAAAAGCCGAAGCATCTGTGCTAGTGAAGATGACATATTTGATTAACTTAAAATCCAGTTTATATGGTATTGGTTTGGTTTTTTGCACTTTACCCCCGTCATTATTCAGAAATTAACACATAAGTTCTCTTATACTTTTGAACTAAATTGCTATCAATAGAAATTATCTCTAAATTGACAGAATGTAGCATAGAAGCACATGATTTGAGAGTAAGTGTGTGAAAATATTCGATCTACCTCAACTTTGAATGAAAGGGTTTGGGTTTCAATAAAAAAATATTAATTATTCTGTGGTGTTGTGTCTCATTACATCTTAAATTTGTAAGATCTTAAAAAGTTTTTGCTCATCCATTTGTTTCCTTATACATGAAATCTAAAACAAAATTAACATTTGTATTAAAACAACATATTTTAAATTTGCATGATTTGTGCTAGTGATTCATGCAATAATATTAAAATGCCTTAAAAATTCAGGGAAAATAAATTGTATTTCGGTCATTGAAATTATTTAATATGGTTTGGATTAATTTTGTTATTATTGGAAAAAAAAATTAAGTTTTATTTTGTAAAGACACAACTTCGAATTTTTTAGAATTACACAAATAATGACTTAGGCTTGAGTTGTATCGATTTGTGTATTATTTTTTGTGTTGAAAAATATTTTTATTTTTTTCCATGATGCATATGATTTTTGTGATTTTTGTGTATTGTACAAATTAAATTAAATAAATGAATAAAATATTTATTGCAATATTTTGTACAAATGCGTAAGTACATGTATATATATATTTTTTTTTCATAAGTAAGACAATACTAATGGATTGGACTTTTTTTCATTCCATGAAAAACATGGTATAGGATTGGATAACATTTTTTATACAAGGGTGAAATGGTCAATTTTTTATGTTTTACCTATACATGTGAATGAGGCCCACAAATCGAATGAAACTTATCCAAACATAGGGTAGGATTTGAATCCAAACTTTCTAATCCTCCAATCTGGATCACATTGCATTGTGTGGGATTGGGTTCGGATTCAAATCCAATCCTTCAATGGTGATCCAAACACCACCTAAAAGTTACTTTATTTAATTCATTTTTGGCAAATTTTCTTTCAAAGATAACGTGAATCGGTTATAACCTCTTATCACCAATAAAATGTGGATAGTATCGGCCTAGGGCATAGGCCAATTACGTGGCTGCCTAAGAGCATCTCTAACCCAGCTCTTCAAAATAGTTAGCCAAAATATGTTCAAATATTACATTAACTACTTTAGCTAGCAACTTTTACAAATTCACTCCAATCATATTTTCTATTTTAGCTAACTACTTCACCTAACTTTCATTAACTTTTAATAATTTAAAGAGAATACAATATATACAGAGAGTAGCGCAATGATGGAAGCTTCAGACTAGATCCTCTTGTGGATACTTTTTACATGAACCGTTAGATCGTAATCCAACGATTACTAGTGGAAAAAGACTAAAATTAAATGGAAAAACTTACCAAGTTAAGCTATTAGCTAAAATAGAAATTTCATTGTGATATTGATTACAATCTTTATCATATAAGGAAACTAAATTAACCTTTTTGAATCAAATATTTTCAGTAAAATTAGTAAAAAAACAAAAAAAAAACTTGTCACATGGGTGAACCAATTAACTCAAATTGGTTTATACCAACTTTTTATGTGTTATCTGTAATTCAATTTTCGGATCAAAAAAAATATGTAACTCAATTTAAATGAATCTAAAAATAATGAAATAAGTGGAGAAAAATAAAAATATTGCACGAATCAATATGCACTTGGTGAAAGGACAATATGAAAAAAAAATTATATGATTTACTAGAAGGATCCTGCAGATGGTGGGTGTGAAAGTATGCTCATATTGCATTTACTGAAATAAGGATGCATAATTAGTAGAGGNTGGGTGAAAGGACAATATGAAAAAAAAAAATTATATGATTTACTAGAAGGATCCTGCAGATGGTGGGTGTGAAAGTATGCTCATATTGCATTTACTGAAATAAGGATGCATAATTAGTAGAGGTAATTTATTGTCAAATGGATTAAATAAATTAATCTTAGATGGGTTGCAACAATTGGTATAAACCA